TCCGCCTCTAGGGAGCAGGCTGCCTCTTTCCCAAAAGTCAATGTCTATCCAACCATAGGCTGCTCAGTCTTGCTATTCATTATAGCTTCTACCAGTCAAAAGGAAGGGGTTTGAAAGGGACAGTCAAATCTGGCAAATCAACAAATGGTGACAGGGCTGGTGCCACAGCTGGGTGTTCAGCTGCTTAGAACATGTGGCCTGTTTTGAGAAACCTGGTCTGCTGGGGACTGATGGGGTCCATCTGTCAGAGAAGGGGAAAAGCAGCTTTGCTCACAGGCTTGCCAGCCTGGTGAAGAGGGTTTAAACTGAAATTGCCAATGGGAGGGGAACCTCAATCCATCCCACTCCTAACAGGTTGATGCTGTTGCCAGCAGGAGATGCCCAGAGCCTGGAGAGGGATTGCAGATCAGCAGGAGAGCACCTGAAGAGCAGCACAAAGGGATTCCAGCCATTCCACTGAAGTTAAATTGCTTATAGATACACAGATTTGCCTAGAAATACAAATACTGTCAAAACCTTGTAGTTTGGTCTGTGAGACTGTGACGTCAGTGAGTGGTCCTATGGGTGCCTTCGACACACAGTGGTGTGTTTGGAAAACTTCCCTCGGTTAAAAATGATAGTTGATGAATAGTGACCATAGAGCCTATCCTGTTCTACTAAATCTGAGGCAGATAACTATTATCCTCCTGTCAGAAGCACAATAGAATTTGGCTCAGTGTAGCTTTTGGCATTTTGGGTTCATACGAAAGTTAAATGGTACATGAAAGCCAATGAGCCTGAACAGAACAGATGGAAAAATTAATGAAGCTGTTGCTCTGCTCTGAATTTAATGTAAAATCTTGTTTAAAATAGCAGATTGTGCCTAATAGTATAAGCTTTTGTCTGAACAAAGGACCATGATGCTAAAAGATAAACAGTTACATTAATGTCCATAAAATGATTTTCAGTAAAAATGAAGCAAAATAGTCGCTGCCTACTTTAACAATGGAGGCTGACCCAACACCTGCAGATAGTCCATTGTGTTTGTCTTTCCATCCTTTTCCAGGTCTGCCTGGACCTATCCAGCTGTATGGTACATTTGCCACCAAGTGAGGTAAGAGTTTGCCTAAAAGCTGATGTGTGTGGGAGCAGCAATAGCCCTTTACCTTTCTCAGGGAGAAATACATGTTGTCTCATGGTCTACAATAAGCCTAATGCATAGGAATCTTCATTCCAATGCACATTTGGGGGAATTCCTTTGGCTAGACAATGGCCCAAACCCAGTATACCTTATTAGAAAAAGAGCCTGCATCTCCTAAAGTCCAGGCATGGGAACCCTGTAATTTTCTTCTCTTAACACTAAGAACAGACAACAACTCAAGGGATTAATCACTTTCAAAGCATGCATATGTATTATGCTATCAGGGTGTTTTGGAACCATAATGGTTGTTTAAATGTGGTCAAAATAAGGTGGGGATGGCCTCTGAGGTCCCTGATGATGCACTTCCTTTCGGGTTAGAGCTCACCTCTGTGTGGTTGCCAACCTTCCAACCTCAGGAGAGATGCCAGTGACTCATGGGCCACAGTTCGTAGTCTACAGATAGCATGTGGAACTGTATTGCTTTTATGGGGTTGTTAATAAAAGTTTAGCACGGGAGCATAGCCATGTGTGAAAAATTGAAGCTAGATGGAGTCCCAGAAGAGCTTGGGTGACGCTAGGTTGGTATGAAGTAGCCCATGTAATTTACAAAGTACCAAAGAAGAGAAGATTACATTAATTTAACTGTGATCTCCTTTTCAGCTGCATACTGGGGGCTGGTGCCTACTCCACTGTTTTCTGTAGCAGCACAGACATCTTTGAGCCTTGACTCTGGAAAGAGGGACTCGTACCATGGGAGAGAGTTCCGCCCCCCCGCCTCCCCCCCCGTTTTTATCACTGGTAGATATGTCAGTATTACAGGATGGCTGAAACAAGTGGACAGTATAAACTGAGCTATCCTAATCTGCAGGGATGTCACACCTGGTTAATGAAGTAGACTTATAAATGGTCTGTAGCACTGTTAGTGTTTATTCATCTGGAGTAAGTGTATTTTTGGTACCACTGCTTTTTAGAATGACTTGTATTGAAGTTTTCCAGAAAACTCATAGAAAGTTTATAGGTGGGAAAAATACTACTTGTTGCATTTTTCTGATGTACCTTGACAGCTAAGAGAGCAGCAAATGACCCGCAGACCTCTTGTTACCACAGCTGATGTCCGTGTGGAAGCTCAGCTGCTGAGCTCTCCTTTTTGTCCAAGAGCAGATGTGAAAGGCTGTAAGGAAAGGTGCTGGCAGCCAGCCTGGCTGGCAGGCAAAGGGCCGGGCTGGCACTATTAGTTGCTGAGGAGCTCATGGTTTCAAGCAGTGCTGCCGGTCTAGTTAGGATCAAAATGTGACCCTCCCATACAAGTTGCTGTAATATGTCCTCCCACTCTAGGTATTTACACACTGCACTGAGGGGAAAAATAGCCCAGATGCATCTAGCACTGTGGAGTGAGCAGTGCTACAGTGTGAGAGGATGTAACTTCTCTCAGACTTGCTCCCATTCGCCTGCATGAGGAGGTAAATGGAGATGACACCTTTAAATCATGGCACCAAACCAAACAATGGAACTGTAAAAGCAGAAAATGAGAGCACTAACTTGTTACAGAACTTAATGGAACGTGTATTTTGTCCTTCAGAAAATGAGGATTTTGGACTCTTTGAAAGTAAAACTGCAGAAGATGCAGCGTTTTTTCACTGGAGTAAGGACAGGTATGGAAAGACAGATTAGCACTGGAGCTAATCACCCACAACTGTATTTGTGTTACAGGTGCTTTGCTCAGGCAGGTCCACTTTGTGCCATTTCCACTGTCGGCCACAGTGAATGACCAGTCAGCTGTGAAAGTTACTTTAATATCTGTTGCAGAACTAAGACTTTTATCACAAAAATGCAAGATGAAATTTGCTCTGTGTCATGGAAGAAAAGCAGCAGAGATCAGAAGTATAGGATAGTGTCTGGGGTTCTCTGCAGTAGCAAAGAATTTTAAGGGAAATGCCAGGAAGACAGAAGTTGGCCATGTGAAATGCTGTAAATTGGTAGTCCCTGCCAAGCTAATCAGTGCAGAAAAAATCTTGCCAGCTTCCAAACAAGAAGATAACTGAACCCCAAAAACTAGCAAGACACCTTGGAGCTTTAATTTGATTATGAGCATTGGTTTGGCATCCTAGAGCAAGTGGTTGTTAGTGGGTGTTTCCAGGAAAGGCAAAAATGCCCCAGAAGCAAAGCTGTGTGACGGATGGGTGGGGGAGCAGACTACTGCAGCCTTTGCAGAATAGGTTATTCAGTGTGTTCATGGCAAACAGATCTTTACTCAGTCCTATTTTCTGATTTTTCGTCCGTCAAAGGTAAATTGAGCCAAGCACACTGTGATTGCTTGCTTTATAATTTGGCTGACTAAAATGAAGAAGATGGTTGTGCTGAAATTTTAGCACATAAATGTTCTGCTGTTACT